TTGCTTTTCAAAGCTCAGCATGTGTTTAACCTGTGGTAAAATGACAGATATATTGAAGAAGGGCGCACAGACGCCAACGCTACCAAATTTTGAAGTAAGATAACTTCCTGGTTTCGGATGTATCAATTTCAGCAAATTTTGCTTGCGTCACTAAGGAACTTTATAAGATGCATTTCGTTCGAATGAACCTTTTTTGTAGTCAAACCCATCATTGCTGCTTAATGAGGCTCGTGTAAGTCGCTGATTGCCTTGAGAATGCGCCTGCTTCCTCCATGGATTATCGCATCTTGTGTTATGAACTCTTAGCAATTGCGAGCTGCAAAGTGTTCAAAGAAAATTTGTTGCACTGTCTGAAGGATGTTTCGGAGTGCAATTCGATTTTTTATCGTTGATGAATTACCTCTTTATAAGTGCATGAAGGCATCAAAAAGCAACAGCACCGAAATGTCTGGATCGAGGAACGTTCAAACACCAACCTCCCGTTCTGTTCTCTGTGCTTTGTATTGCATTGCATCTGCGTATCTTGGAAAATGGTTCTTTTTGCAGGAGCGCGATATTAATTTTGTTAGAAAGTGAAATTTTGCCTATAGCATCGCTTGCCAGCGAGAGAGCTTTTTTTCCCAAAGCTCGTTCCTCATTCTAATTTTGCCTTGCAAATCTATTGCGCTGATAAAGGCAGAGCCGCTATGCTAATTTCTCTATAAATCCTTTTCCAAAAAATTCCATTGCCAGAGTATCTTGTAAGTAATAATTTGCATTGTATGCACAATTTTTTAAATTTTTTTTGTGAGATATCCCCAAACAAAAGCTCTTTATCAGGGGCTCCTGGTAGCAGCAATCCGTTTCTTTTCTAGAGCTATATAACATTCTGAAAAACTATTTTTTTGTCGCTTCAAACAATTGTGCCTGCAAAAGATGCATTCCGTCGAATAGGAATGCACCTTGCGGTGAAGCAGAAAGAATAATGCTATCAGGTTTTGAAACTCTCAGTTCTCTTGCTTTGTCATGAACATGTGGGAAGGATAGTTTAGAAACAGTTTTAAAAACATCTGCGCGTCGAGTGTACATTTAAGCGTTAAACGGATAAAACACTGTGAAAAAAAAAGAAAAAAGCGCACTAACGATTCGCTAATAACTATGGCTTGTTATTTTCGCAAAAATGCACAAATCAAGTTTTCCTAGTACCACGGATGTAAAATCATTGATGACGCGCATCAGGCAGGCCCTGTGCGATCATGTTTTTTTGCAATACTTCGCGCTCTGGTCAGATCGCTTGGAGTTTCAGCAGCTAGGATTTGTGGCATGTTGGTCCTCGAACTTCAGGACGTTAACTGTGCTACTGAATGGTACTTTGTCAAGGGATATCCCCTCAAAATTTCAGCTTTCTGGCTTTTCTTTCCCCGATTTAGCAGTTTTCCCGCCAAAAATTTTCGCGGGTCATACAAGAGAACTGGGGGCTGAATTTGAAGCTGTTAAGTTGTACGTGGGCTGGGAATTTAATTTCAAAATATCAGCCTCCGAGACTTTTCGACTTACGAGTTAGCGAATTTTCCCGCCAAAAATTTTTATGGGGCCGTACTTGTGAATCACGTGCACTTAAGGGCTGAAACTGAAGCCTTTAATTTGTGCTAATCTTGGAACGTCCCCTTAAATTTTCAGCCTCGCAGCTTTCCTGGTCCCCAATTTAGTGATTTTTCTGTCAAAACCTTCAGATGCTCGTACGCGGGGCATAGACGTGTGTAATTGCTGGCATCACGGTCCAGGAATGGCATTTGAGCCCATCAGCAAAATTTTAGCGCCGGAGGTTGCTTGGTTGTCAAGTTGAAATAGCTGGATAGATACACATATACACCTTGAGTCGCCACAGTCGGCGCTTTTGCATTTACATATATGCAAAAACCCATAACGAGAAAATAATTTTGTAGTTCAGCGGCGTCACTTATAAAGAGCTGGAGCGTAAGAAGCATTCTCTGCGATGATTCACTCGTCGTGCTTCTGCTTGAATTGTGGTTTGACTGAAAGATAAATGCAATACAACAGGGAGCCTTTTCTTGAAGACTGATGAGTTTTTCAGTCTAAAAACTCACCCCCATCACTTTTTTGCGATCTTTGATACTTGGCAATATGTTTTTTTTTGAACGAGTACATGTGTCCCTGTTCATGGCGGTGGCAGCTGCATGTAGCTTACTTCGCTATGATTTGTCACAGAGATCCAGGCGATTCTCGGCAGCCTACCTCCGAAAACCACTGTTTTTACTTCTAGTTTGATCACATATTTCCCTCCTTCAGGAAGCAAATGGATTTTTTAAAGCTTGCAGTTTCATTTTGCGATGTCAAAACTGTGGCAGCTGTGCTGCATAGACCTTCCCTCCTACCGACGCTCCCCGAGGCTTCTGAGCAATGTTCATTCCAGTGACACTCCGATGGTCTCACCGGAGCCACTGAGAGGTGCTGCTATCTGCACGATTGTAAATACACCCGCTGATTTTAGTGGCACTCCCAAGGGACATTCGTTGACACATTTCCGAAAATTCAATATATATTAATTTTGAAAAAGATGTTTTTCCTTTGATAATGATGCTAATCATACCAGTTGCTTGAAGCAGTTAATTTGGCGCTTTGAAAAGCTTTGATGGCGCAGTAAAGGGGAATGGTGATAAAGTTATTAGCCGTATAACAAATTAACTTAGCTAACACGATTAACTTTGCTCAAAATCGCTCTGTGCAACAGTGAGGATACAACTACGTTAAGGTGAAGGAACATGATGCTGCTTTAAAAAACATTGTTACTGTTATTGTTGTTGCAATTATTATAATTATAATTATTATTATTAATGTTGTTGTTAGCAATATTGTTGTTAGATTTTTTTAGATATCCAACAATATAACTTATACAGCTTTATTTTTAACTTTTGCTCTCTTTTTATTTCTTTTTTTCTGTAAATATGCTTGTTATGCCCATAGTCATCTTGCTGGCGAAGTACAATCGTGGTGCTGAATGGGAATGTACACGACTTAATGAGTTGATACGGACTGAAACACTCCCGTTTAATTTTATCACTCTTATTTTAACTCTTTTTCCAAATTGTTTTCTTTTAAAATAAATCAAATTCTTCCAAAATCGTTGAATTTTTCAGCGATAGCATCGAGTGAAAAGAGACGTTTTAAATCTTCGTCACGGTGAAGAAGCCAAGTTTAGGATTCCCTGGTCAATACTTGGGCTTGACGCAATCTCTGAGTGCCCGTCCTGGTCCATGATGAAGGATTTCACATCAGCTTCGTGCGACATTCCCCCGGTCCCTCTTGGCGGTCCGAGGACAAACTGGTGACGACAGTAACGGCTCGTATAAAACAGCATTTTCGCATGAGCGCTCTTTGAATTGCATCAATTAGGGGCAGCAGCAGCATGCCGTTCACGTGCGAATCACACTCGCCGGGCGGTGCCAGTGCCTATAAACACAGGCTGCCCTGGGCACTGAGATGCATTTGCAGTTGGGATCCCCTCATTTGCACGGACATTACTCACTGCGCATATATGCTCGAGAATCTGTTTGTCCGTTTTTCGTGCAGTGGGGATTGTTGCGAGTTTGTATCAAAGTGTGTATGTATGTGTGTGTGTGTGTGTGTGTTGTATGTGTGCGTGTATTTGTAAGCGTATTGTATGTGTGTTGGTTGTGTCTGTGTGTTGGTTGTGTCTGTGTGTTGGTTGTGTCTGTGTGTATTGTATGCGTGTTGTATGTGTGTATATATTGTGCATGTTTGTATTTGTGTGTTATGCCTGTGTGTTGTGATGTGTGTGTG